GGGCTGGAACAGTGGGGGGATTGCTCCAGGGGCACTGGAGAGAGTGGGGGCACAGTAGGGAGGTTGTTCTGTGCTAACCTCCGCTCTGCTCACAGGGAGCCAGCACCAGGCCGCTTGCCCGGCATGAAGGACTCGCTGTTGTTGCTTGCCCGGATCCCCGCCCACCCAGATTCTCGCTGCTGGTTCCTAGCCTGGGATCCCTCCGGGACCCTGCTGGCCTCATGCGGGGGCGACCGCAGCATCCGCATCTGGGGCAAGGAGGGTAGGGAGCTGCTTTGTCCAGAAAGGTGAAATCTCACCTGCTGCTCAGGCTGCCTGAGCCCAACCAGGCTGTCTGGCCACAGGCTGCTGCGCAGGCAGAGCTCTTCTGAGGGGACTGAGAGGGGAGCTCTGGCTGCGCAGCTTCCCCTTTCCCCCCATGCAGTGCTCACTCCTTTCTTCTCCCCTGCTCTAGGAGATAGCTGGGTGTGCAAGTCTGTGCTGGGCGAGGGGCACCAGAGGACAATCCGGAAGGTGGCCTGGTCCCCATGTGGGAGCTACTTGGCCTCAGCCAGCTTTGATGCCACCACCTGTATTTGGAAAAAGAGCCAGGATGAGTTTGAGGTAAGGATGTTTCCATGGGGTTGAGTGCTGAGGATGTCTTGGACATGCCTCCCCCAGGACTGTGCCTCCTGCAGACGCAGTGACTGGCCCCCAATTGCTGTCTGTCTGCATCTCTGTGATCATCCAGCAGTGAGAGGGCAGGTTGAGCTGGGCCCAGTGTTTATTACCTGAAAATTAAGTGTCATTTGACCCATGACGACTCATGAATTTGACACCAGTTCACCAGATAGTTCCATGCCAAGAGCTTTCTGAGATGTAGGTGCCATTCACCCAGCTGGAAGAGATGCTGCTTTTGGCAGTGCTTAAGGCCACTGCAGGGAGGTCTCCCCTCTGATTGGTATGAGTACCCTAGCCCCTGGGTTGTGAGCCTCTTTCTGTCTTGCCTGTTAAAGCTCTTCCATTGTGAATAACTAGTCATTGGAGCAGAGACTTGAAGGTGGGTTCTCCTGCCACCCAAGCAGATAACCCTGACCAGCAGGCTCCAGAATCTCTCTCAAGACTGGCTTAGTGCCTGAGTGGTACAGAACCACCACCAGTCATACTCCCACCCAATCCTATTGGTGGATCTAGGCCTTCCTTTGTAGGCTGTTGAGGAATGATGAGAAATTCACTGTAGGCTGTGAAAAGTGCTGAGTGAGGTGGTGGTCTTACATTAAAAAGTGCTGTGAATCAAAACAGTTTGTGTTGGGTTGAACAAAATGTTTAAATGATGGGAGCACTGGGAGCTAGGCTCCTCCCTCCCTGGATCTGGCTTAAACACAAGTGCCTCCTCTGACAGTGTGTGACCACCCTTGAAGGACATGAAAATGAGGTGAAGTCTGTGTCCTGGGCCCCATCTGGAAGCCTCCTGGCCACTTGCAGCCGAGACAAGAGCGTCTGGGTCTGGGAAGGTGAGAGAGGTCTGTGGAGTGGGGGACCAGAAGTACTATGGGAGATATTGTGGGTAACTAGGCGTGACAATTCTCAGGGCACTCAAGACCTATGTTCCCTCTCATTTTTTCCACCCCTGAGCAGAATGAACTTTGTGTCTCATTGTGGCGGTGATGTGCGACCCAAAATGGTACGGCTAGGGATAAGGGCTGTGGGGTGCAGGAGGGTTCTCCTGGAGGGGCTCATGGTAAGGCAGAGGGTTGGGGCTTGGCCCCTTGAATTACATTACCAGCTGACCAGGCAGGAGTGATCGCATCCTGCTACTGAAATAGGCTGTCATAGAGACATAGGATTCCCTGGTGGCAAACTTTTACTGCAAGATAATGTTACAATTTTCAGTCTAGCTGCATTATTCCTTATTGTGGCCTATAGCACCCAGTGAGTGTTACAAGCTATTAGTAGCAACCTCACATACTTCCATGAAAATGGTGTATTGAGGTAGTGACGTTGACAGGTCTGAGACACAAATTACTTGTCCAGAACAGAGAGCTACTGGCAACGAGGAAGCTCTGTGTCACCAACTGTCAGGAGACTTAGGGGGGAAAGCGAAATGGGAAGATGTGGAAAGACCAAGTGGGTTTGGGACAGGAAGGCCAACCCCTCAGGTTGGCTGCCGTAGAGCCAGGGCTGCCCCTTGTGCTGCTGTTGCCCCAGGCGGGGCTGGGCAGAGGCCCTGGCTGTGTTCACCCATAGCCCTTCTCTCTCTCAGTGGATGAAGAGGACGAATACGAGTGTGTGAGTGTTCTGAATGCCCATACGCAAGACGTCAAGCATGTGGTCTGGCATCCCAACCAGGAGGTGAGGGCTCTTTCCACAGCCCTTGCCTAGCCCCTCCCACCCAAGTTTTCCTGCTGCTCTGGGGTGATTATTCTAGACAGGGGCCACGAAGGAGGGGAATTTGTGGGGCAGGTGGAGCTGGGAGAGGAATCCACTGGGTCTGAATTTGGGAGGAACACAAAGGTGACTAGCTCCCTTTCATCCAACTCCCTGAGCAAGAGGTTTACAGACTCCTCTCCCCAACTCCCACTAAGAAAGGGCAGCCCTGCCCTAGAGGGAGCTGCACCACTCTGAGAAGAATAGGGGACTTCAGGTTCCATGTCCCTCCAGGCTTCGCTCCCCAAGCCATGGACACCCTTAACGTCTCTCTCTGCCAGCCTGGGGGGATCTGAAAGCCATATTTTGGTGGGTGCCCAAGGTGCTGTGTCATGCTTCCTGTCCTGGCTCTCCTGTCACTCCCCAGCTGCTAGCATCAGCCAGCTACGATGACACAGTGAAGCTGTACCGTGAAGAGGAGGATGACTGGGTGTGCTGTGCCACCTTGGAGGGGCATGAGTCTACCGTGTGGAGCCTTGCCTTTGACCAGAGTGGGGAACGCCTAGCCTCCTGTAGTGATGACAAGACAGTGCGCATCTGGCACCAGTACAAACCAGGCAATGAGCAAGGTGAGCAGGGGCCATATCAGGAGCACTGGAGAGGTGCATCGGTATTGTCCTTAGTATATAGGAAACCCTCACCATCCATGGTGGATACGTTCCTGGCACCGCCACGAATGGCGAAATCTACCAGTACAGGGGATGGAAAGACCAAGCAGAGCAAGTGCTCTGTTCCCCACAGCTCCCAGCAGCCACAGTGAGCGTGTGTGTGCGTGTAGTGGGGGACTTACTGCTGCTGTCCCACAACAGGCCCCAGCCCCTGAGGTAGGGCCCCCTTCCTCCACCGTCCCAGGCCAGGGGATGGGATGTAATGGGGGGGGAGGGGATAGGATAGACCTGCAAAATTGTGAATAGTGATTCTATAAATACCACAGGTCTCCTGTATATAACTGTAGAAATGGAAAGGGCTTGCCCAAGGATACACAAGGAGTCGGTGGCAGAGCCGAGAATGAAAAGCAGGACTTCAGAGTCCTCGTCTCCTGCTGTAACCATTAGACTTACTGCCCTTTGTATGTAGTCTGGGTGACATTGGTTGAGAGTGAGGGACAAATAGTCCTTACTAGTCTGACAGATGGCTCAGGAAGGTGCTGCCCTAGCTCCCCCCTGGAAAGAGTAACCCAACCCCTCTGCATCCTTGAGGCAGGTCCAGCTGGCTCCTGTGCTTCTAAGTGTGGTAGACCAGTGTCCAAGGAACCCCACCTGTGCTTATCTTGCTCCTCCTTTTGGAGCAGCCAAATCTGACACCCAGGCTGTGTCCAGACTGGCCAGTTTTTCCGGAAAATCAGCCGCTTTTCCGGAAAAACTTGCCAGCTGGCTAAACTGGCCGCTTGAATTTCCGCAAAAGTACTGACTTCCTACTGTAAGAAATCAGTGTTTTTTGCGGAAGTACTATGCTGCTCCTGTTCGGGCAAAAGGGCCAGTGTAGACAGCTGAGATTTGTTTTCCGCAAAAAAGCCCCGATCGCGAAAATGGCAATCGGGGCTTTTTTGCGCAAAAGCGTCTGTGCCAATCTAGACACTGTTCTGAAAATGCTTAACGGAAAACTTTTCTGTTAAAAGCATTTCCGGAAAATCATGCCAGTCTAGACGTAGCCCCAGTGTTGTATTTGCAGTCTGCCTTATTCTGCTGTACAGTCACTGGGTGCCAGTGGGGTATTAGAAACCGCCCCTGGAGCCAGGCACCCTGATACTCCAGTGTTCATCACCCGAGAGACCAGGCATCCTTTCCCCATGTGCTGGGAAAAGGACATCATGCCCTCGCCAGCAGGCCCTGGCCTATTGCAAGTGTGACTGAACTGCTCCCTTTGTGGGTTAGTTCTGTGAGCAAGTGCTGCTCATGCCTCTGGCTGTGCTGCGCTGCCCAGAGCTGTCCTGAGTGCTGTCTGGTGTGTTGCAGGGGAGGTTTGCAGCAGTGCTGACCCCAGCTGGAAATGCATCTGCACCCTGTCCGGTTTCCACCCCCGGACCATTTACGACGTGGCATGGTGAGCCAGGCCTACGAATGCTCAGTCTAGTCACGGTCTGTGGGGCAAGGGGTTTGTCCCACAGGCCCCCCCCAATGCTTTTGTGAGTCTCCTCCCGGGCGCTGGGAAAGCACAGCACAGTGGTGTGGCTGACAGATGCAGCTGAGTTACTGCCCGGCAGAAGCTGCCTCACATCACTCCCATCACTGCAGCATAATGGGAACTTTGGGGTCTGTACCACTCCCTGGCAGTGGCCACAGCACCGCCAACCTGCTAGACCAGGAAGGGCTCCAGTGCTGAAGATTTCCCCTTTCCTGGCCCCTTGTGGAGCTGTGGCACCAAGCTGTGCCAGAGAATGAGAGCAGTTTCTTCCAGCCCCCATGTAGTGACTCGGGCAGAGGCAGGAATGGTCACACGTATGTCCCAACCCTGACCTTGTTGGTGCTGACTCAGCACAGTGCAGACCCAACTTTACTCTTGGGGAATTCCTCAAAACCACAAGGTGTCTGGGCCCAGTGCAGGGCATCAGCTGTATTCCCTGATCCCTGACCTGCTTTGCAAGGGGTTCCAGTTGGTCTGTGCACGTAAAACTAGCCCCAAAGGAGGAAGAGGGTCACACCACTGCTTTGCCTTCCTCCAGGCTTTCACCCTCACAGATCCCTGCTCTGCTCAGGCTGGCTATACCTGGCTGGACTCCTCAGGGCAGGGACTGGCTTGGCTGCTCCAGCATCATGTAGTGGGAGGAGAATCTCTGCTCACTCACTGCTCCATTTGCTGCAGGTGTCACCTGACAGGAGCACTGGCTACAGCCTGCGGGGATGATGCTATCCGCGTATTTGAGGAAGAGCTGCTCTCAAATCCCCAGCAGCCCACTTTTGCGCTGACTGCCCACATGCCCCGGGCTCATTCCCAAGATGTGAACTGTGTGGCCTGGAATCCCAAGGAGCCAGGACTGCTGGCATCATGCAGTGATGATGGAGACATGGCCTTTTGGAAGTACCAACGCCCAGAGGTTTGCTGAGGCAGCAGTGCACTGACCCAAGCTCGCACCCACCCTTCCCCATACCACGCATTAGGGCTGTTGTGTGCAGCAGCGGTTGACTGCTGAGAGAACGTGTCCCCTTGCAGGAGGGCTAATGGTCCCTTGCTGCGGGGGAAAAGAGTAGCTACTCCCTCGCTCTGCTCACTGTGGTATTAGTGAGAGCCCTGCTAGTGTCTTAGAAATAGATGAGTACTGGGAATGCTTTTGGGGGGAGGCAGAGAGTCTCAAACAGCTTCCTCAGGAAAACGTACTGGATGGTAAAGGGGCATGAGCAGCTTTTAGGGAGCCCCAGCATGAATTCCAACCTGGAGCTAATCTTAGGCTGCCTGGATCCTGCAGCCAGTCCCTGCTCTGGTTGTTACACGAGAACCAAGCTGAGAGTTTCACTGTGTCCAGTTGGTTCATGCTGGGGCTGTGGAGTGGTGGCCCAAGGCCCTCGCACCGTGGGAGCGAAGAGCTTTAATAAACCTTTGCTATTCTCCCCCACCAGCACCCTGATCTGGTCCTGCTTTATTCCTGGTCAAAATGCCCTGGTGCTTTTCTATGGTAGCCCCTGGGCTTAGACCCTGATGTCTCCATGGAGCCATAGGCCAAGCAGAGTCAGGATGGAAATCTTGCTGAAAGGCCAGCTGGGTCCGTGTGGGGGGAGGGGGGAAGGAGTAGGGTGTAGCTCTCTAGTTCATGATGAGGTGGATTAGAAGGGGGGGGTCCTGACCCAACAAGCCCAAGCCTGATAAACCAAACTTAGTTTACCTTAGAACCACTACCAGTCATCTTTCTAGTCGGCTAGTGGTCTCTGTGCATTCACGTGCATCTCCCAGCCCATCTGCTGCCCCTGGGTGATTTAAAAACCCTGCAGGGATACCTGCTGCCTAGTTGCATGGTGCAACTATTAACTTGTTTTGTGAAATTGACGAGATAGCAATGATGTCAGCTCTCCTAGTTTGATCAGTTAAGCTAGATACTACCTGATGCCTCATTATCAACAACCATTACTGTGACTCAGCATCCCCCCACCTTTTTTTTTTTATTTTTATAGGCAGACTTTAGGTCTCGTGGTTTGTGGAGAAAAGCTAGAAAGTGTGCCTTGGGAGTTTAGCCAAAGATCTCCAAGTGTGTGTCTAGACTGGCAAGATTTTATGCAAAATCTTGCCACCTGTCTACACTGGCCATGAGTATTTGCACAAGAACACTGACTTTGTACTGTACAAAATCAGTGGTTCTTGCACAAATACTTTGATGTTCCCAGTCAGGGATAAGCCCTCTTATGCAAGAATGGCCATTTTAGCCATCCAAGCTTTCTTGCGCAAGAGAGCGTCTAGTGGCACAGATGCTTTTGCGCAAAAGATGTCTTTGCACGAAGTATCCATGCCAGTGTAGATGCTCTTGCACAAATACTTTTAATGGAAAAACTTTTCCGTTAAGTATTTGCACACAATTATGCCAGTCTAGACGCAGCCCAAGTGTATTGTGACATTTCAAGCAGCTATTCTTTTTTGGGGAGTGGTGTTGGTTCATGAGTTTTTAAACTCTTGGGGCTATATCTACACTGCAGGCTTCTTGTGCAAGAGCATATCCACACTGCCATGTGCTTTTGTGCAAGTGCATCCGTGACAGCATGGATGCTCTCTTGTGCAAGAAAGCTCCGATGGCCATTTTAGCCAGAGGGGTTTCTTGCACAAGAAATCCCTGTTGCCCATCCACACAGCCTTCTTGAGCAAGAGCTCTTGCACAAGAGGGCTTATTCCCTATGGGGAGAGGAATAACTCTTGCGCAAGAAGACTTCTGTTCTGACGCTTTACTCTGAATTTACTTGCGCAAGAACGCGCGTGCAATGTAGACATGCCTCAAGTTTTTGTGCAAGAATGGTCATTCTTGCACAAAACGCTTGCAGTGTAGATGTAGCCTTGGGGTTAGTTACACAGCACATGCAAGCTGATAGTGTCTCCCTGTGTCTAGGAGCCCAGACGCAGACAAGGATCCTACAAAAGACATGAAACAATCCTCACCTTGACACTAGGACCCCACCCTTCTCTCCCCCTTCCTCTGCTCCATTAGCATCCAGATCCTTTTGCTTGGGGCTCCCCCACCCCTGCCCAGAGTAACCAAAACTCACTGCAGAAGTGGGTCAACTTGGGCAGCTTCCTGGCCAACATGGCTTCATAGACCACTGGGTGCCCTCCATGGCTAGGGACTGCATAGGTGCATCCCTGTACACAGACCACCCGCCCCATGTCAATTTGCGGGCGAGATGGAAGAAGTGCTCAGGCCACAAATGGTCCATAGGCTGGGAGTTTGGGACCCTTGTAATAAAGCCCTTGCTCACTATCACTGAGTACTTGAATGTGGGATGGAGTTTCATGGCAAAAGTGACTCCCCACAGGCGTGAGCATCACCAAGCACCAACCTCTCTGTAAAGCACTGGCTAACACTAACTCTGAACGACCATAGCCAGTCTGGGAAGGAGAATGCCCCTAAAAACTGTCCTTTAAAGGGGAAAAAGAATTACTGAAAATGGCATCAGCCTGGTTCCTTGAGGGGACAGAAGAGACAACACGGTTTTACTTGCAGCCTCTCTGCTGGAGAAACATGGGAGCAGCTCATGGTCATCCCCACAGAGACCTGGCAAACTTGTGCTAGCAGTGGGCTGTCCTAGTGGACACAGGCTCCCAAAAGAATTGTAAAGGATGCAGGCCTGGGCTACTCAGCCTGACTTGGCAGAAAGAGAGTGGGGGGAACCTAAGCCACCCTAAGCTTAGGGCGGGATGGGGGAGTGATGTTACATAATTCCCTATCCCTGGCCAGGACAAGGGTCATGGTGGAACTGTACCATGAGGCAGCTGCTACCACAGAGCCCAGCCTAGTAGCAACCACCATGGCCTCACTGTGGTACCTTTAGCATGCTGAGGGCTGGTCCAGCTGTAGCACTCCAAAGCTTCAGGGCATAGAATCATAGAGTTGAAGGCAGGACCAATCCCAACTAAATCAACCTAGCCAGGGCTTTGTCAAGCCAAGACTTAAACATCCCTAGGGATGGAGACTCCACTACTTCCCTAGGTAACCCATTCCAGTGCTTCACCCTCCTAGGGAAATAATTTTTCCTAATATCCAACCTGGACCTCTCCCACCACAACCTGAGACCATTGTTCCTTGTTCTGCCATCCATCACTACTGTGAAGTGGTTGCCTTTCTCCAGACTCTTTGGAACCTCCCTTCAGGAAGTTGAAGGCTGCTATCAAATCCCCCCTCACTCTTCTCTTCTACAGCCTAAATAGACCCAACTCCCTCAGCCTCTCCTTGTAGGTCATATGCTCCAGCCCCCTAATCATTTTGGTTGCCCACCACTGGACCCTCTCCAATGCATTCATATCCTTCCTGTAATTGGGAGCCCAGAACTGGACACAATACTCCAGATGTGGCCTCACCAGAGCCGAGTAAAGAGGAATAATCACATCTCTAGATCCACTGGCAGTGCTCCTCTTAATGCAACCAGGTATGCCATTAGTATTCTTAGCTACAAGGGCACACTGTTGACTCATGTCCAGCTTCTCATCCACTGTAACCTCCAGGTCCTATTCTGCAGAACTACCCGCTGGGCGCGACCTTCCAGCCAGCTTTCTATCCATCTTACTGATCCACATTCCCTTAACTTGCTGGAAAATGTTATGGGAGACCATATCAAAAACCTTGCTAAAGTCAAGGTATAACACATCCCCGGACTTCCCCATATCCACAGAGCCAGTTACCTCATCATAGAAGCTAATCAGATTGGTCAGGCACGATTGCCCTTCATGAATCCATGCTGACTATTCCTGATCACCCTCCCCTCTTCCAAGTGCTTCCAACTGGCATGGTCCCAGTTCATAGGGGAAGGAGACAGCCACCTCACTTGGGTTCAGCCCAAGCACAGCTGGCTAGAGATCAGAGCTGGCTAAAGGCAGCTATGAACCCTGCCCATGGCAACAGCACTGCTTACTGCTCTGCCATCTCTACAGTCAAAGGCAAGTGGGTCATCACGGCATATGGCAGATGAAGGAGCAGAGGTCTGCTGGCAACTTGTGGGTATGCAGAGCTCTGGGGTGGGCTGTGTCCTCAGGCTCTGAAGCTACCTAATGTGCATGCACCTAGGGCAGCAGCTTTAAAATGATGGGTTGTGACCCAGTACTGGGTTTCAGAATATCAGGTACTGGTCTCATTGCTGCAGGGTGATCAGTGGGGCTGAACAGTCTACTTGTCTGTCTTGGCACCACAGACTGCACTGTGTCCCAGAAGCAGCTGGCAACAGGATCAGCTCCTGGGGGAGGGGGGAAGAAATAGTTCTGCACACTGCCCCTGCCATGAGCACTAGCTCCACAGGCCCCTTGGCTGGGAACCTGTTGCTAGTTGGTTCTGGGGCACAGCATGGCCTGCAGTGCCAGAAGCAGCAGGAAGCCTGCCTTAGCACCGCAAACCAAGAGTCACTCAAGATAAGCCCTGTCTGCCCTACTCCCTGCCTTCCCCAAAGCACTGCTCCTCAGAGCCCATGCACTAGTCAAACTATGTTGCGTAACAAGCATCAGTAATTTTCTTCAACTAGGTCACAAGGAAAAAAAAAGTGCGAAACCTACTGCCCGAGTGGAACCGTGCTGTGCTAGTGGTCACAGAAGCTCTGAACCCAGCAATCTAACATCCTCCTCGCTCTTCACTTTCAAGCCATGTTACAAACAGGTCAAATTAGACTTTAGTTTGTTTGGACAGTTTGGTGCCAGCGCTCCAGCTGGGGCAGGGTTTGGACATACTTTTAGGCTGGTGCTTGAGTCTCTTGAAAGATGCAGTTTGTCTCTTTAAAAGACCCCCCAGGTGGCCAAACACAACTAGTAGGGACTACTCTGCAAGCTGGGTGTGGGCTGGACAGAATACTCCTTGGCAACAGCACCATTCACCCCATTTTACCTATCAGGCACACTAGTGACAGGAATGGAGCCCGCCCCACAATCTGATCCTGCCCTTAGTAGGGGAAGACCTGCTGCCACATCTCTCAGCAACACAGATGGGAAAGAGGGCACCTCTGGTTCCCAGCTGAAGGAGAAGACAGGAGAGGTGGAGCAGTGGGACAGGTTGGGGTGGGACTGTTCCTCCCAACAGCCAGGGCCCAGAGCTGAAGCTCCAACCAATAGGAATAATGGAAGCGGAAACCCCCCAGCAAACTCATTCAGCAGAACCCCAGACAGAGTTGTTTCTAAAGAGCTTTATTGAGGCTGGATGCCACTGGCCCAGCCCCCTCTACGACCACTGTACAAAGCTTCTCTGTTTAGCCCCAGGCATCAGCTTCTGGGGAGCTCCAAGAGGTGAGCGAGGAGTCTCGGGCACAGGCCACATGCTGCCCCCGTTGGTGCCACCACAGCCAGCAGCAGTGGGGAAAGGAGAAGGCCCACAGCAGCTCTCAACTGCCAGGAAAGGCTAAGATTTCCTCAGGCCACCCCACCCTGGATGACAGCCAGCAAAGGCTCCCATGCAAACACGTTAAAACAAATGTGAGAGCTGCACACATTGCTCCCTGGAACAGAGCAGCTGGGCCCAGGTCTCTGCTCCTAGCCATGGAGACGTGACTTAGTCGGAGTCACTGTCACTCTCTGCTTCCTTCACATCCACGCTGAATTTATACTCCTGGTCGCAGCCCATGTAGGCATCACTCATGAAGTAGAGGGTGTAGTTGTGGGCACCCGGGGCTGGGGCCACAAAATCCAGCTTCACCTAAACAAACAGGCCTTTGTGAGCTGGTGCCTGGGCAGAGCAGGAGAGGGGCTGCTCCAAGGCACTGATCTTGTCTCCAGCATCCCAGTGATGTGCCCTGCCCTAGCACTCCTTGTGAGTTAAGACACCAGCCCAAGGGGGGGGGGGGGGGGGGG